ATGAAAAAAATTAGTATTTTAGTTTAGTTTTATATGTTGTATTTGAGTTGTGTTCAAAAAGAAAATAAATAATGCAATAGTACTTATCGAATAAACGTATAATTTGCGGAGTAATTGACTTATGGATCCGTATTTGATTTTTACTATCTGAAAATGATACTATTAACGAATAAAACATCAAGAAAAAAAAGAAAAAAAAAGGATTCAACGAAAAATTTTTTTTTGTTGCATTAATTATGATCGCCACTGTCGACATGCACATTTTGCTTTATAGCATTGTGTGCTATGCCCTGTGCTGCTGGTGTGGGGAGGAAAAGTGTCTTGTTCTACCCTGCAACGTGCGACTGCTGGTCGAGTTTGAGGTCAATTTTTGGCCGAGGAGGGAAGCGAATCACAGCCTAGCATGTGCACGCTGTGGCTGCGCTGACGCCTGCTGGCTTAGCTAATCTTTGTTTACCATTTATTCCGTTTATTAATGTCACAGAAAAATGGAAAACGCTCTGAATATTCACCTTATGAAAAATTATGCAACGTTGAGGAATCTAAAGATTAATTGATGATCTACGCTCGATATCAGATTTATTCCGGAATTATGATTGTGTTTTAAAATAACTTTATTAATAAATGAATCATATAATGTGTGTTGGTTTTTGAATAAACAATCAAAAACATTATACATTTGATATTATTTATAATTTAAGAGATATTATTATTATTATTATTAGTTGATTTTTATTTTACACCTGATAAATAATCCCTCCTGAGTACATTATCAGATTCTTATCATTCATTGCTAATAATATGCGATCAGTTTCTTCTTCATTGAATTGTTCATCTGCATCGAGTAATTTATTTACTTCTGGCAACAGAGTTTCAAGGATCATTTGACCATCGAAAATCGTAGAGTTCATCACATCACTCAATTTATTTTTGAATAAATTTAATCTATTGTTAATATTATTAGTGGTTAGAGTAGTTAGTATGAGATTAGTATAATATAATATTCTTGAAAAGGTGTTATTGTTACCGGGATGTAGGAATGCCAGATGCAGCCGTCGAAGATCCTTCTCCTGGATCTTGTGAAACCGTGATGGGATCCTCCAATACAAGATCTTCCATCATTGAATCGGCCAATGCAGATTGCTGGCGACTAATACTATTGTTACTGTTTATCGTGCTTGTGCGACGTGTTAAACGCGGTGGTGTAGATGATTTGCTGCGTAATTATTAAGTAAAAATTAATCAGTGAATTTTTTCATATATTCCATCGAAAGGAATGTGAGAATTCCACACCTACCTTTTTTCTTTTCGCTTATTCCTTGAGTTTTCGTTTGACTCTTGATCGTGTTCATCGTTATCATCGTCATCATCACTCTCATCTGAATGTGATTTTTTTTGTCGTTTGCTTCGCCTTTGATGTGGAATAACCTCTTTGAATAAAGCAAATCGGACAATTTCTTCGGCAACTTTTGCATCTTCTTCCTCAACTTCATCACTCAATCTGGATTTAGCATGTGCAGTTGCAAGACGAATAAGTGTTTCCAGTGTACGAGCTGTTATAGGAGATGTCTAAAAAGTGAGAGGAATTGATGAAACGTGAAAAATCACATTTGAAGAAAGAATATCATAAAAAATTATATAACTATACCTTGGCTTGTCCATCATCATTGCTGCTATTCCGAAGATTTGCATAAACGTTCACAATAAAATCTGCTGCCGGTTTCCCCAATTTCGGTTGTTTTGTATCCTTTGCATGTTGAATATATTTTTTCAGAAAAGAATTTGTAAGAATGTTTACATGCTTGGTAGCAGATCTTCCGGCTCGCTTTCGTTGTACATTTCCATGCAAGAGCTCATTAAATGGTTCCCAAATTGGTTCTTCGGCGTTCGGGTGTTTCTCTTCTTCGCCCATGTATAAACTTTGACTGGGAATATCGCTTATTGGTGTACCTAAAAAAAATCCGTTATTAAATTTATCTTTTTTTGAGCATCATAATTTTTATATTGACTATCTCTTTTGTTCTCTTTACCTGCTGTTAGATTGGGTGGCATATAACGATGCATTCGCAATACGTGTTCTGAGAGCATACGGTCTCGTGCCTCACTGATTTCATCGGTGACTACAAATAACAAGTCAAATCTGGACAAAAGCGAATCCGGTAGCGCAATGTTTTGTGTTGGATGTTTATGTACATCATACTAATTATAGATGACGAAGTAATATTAAAAAGCCTGCGGTTTCTATTGAAATGGATTATTACAAAATAAGAGAAATTACTCACTTGACCATATATTGGATTTGCAGCCGCAATAACACTACATCTAGAATTCAATGAAGTATGAATACCAGCTTTGGCGATCGTCACAGTTTGCTGTTCCATTACTTCGTGTATTGCCACGCGATCATTCTCATTCATTTTATCGAATTCATCAATACAGACAACGCCACGATCTGCAAGGACCATTGCACCGGCTTCCAGACGTCTTTCTCCTATATTATAAATTATTTGGTAAGGGTTTCCATTCTCGATCTTAGAATGATTGAAAAATTCAAATTAAATTACCTGTTTCTTTGTCGGTTGTTATCGCCGCTGTTAAACCCACACCAGAAGATCCACGACCAGTTGTTGCAATTGCAAGAGGTGCAGTATTCAAAACAAACCGTAAGAGCTGTGATTTGGCGGTAGAGGGATCACCTACCATTAAAATATTAATATCACTATCCAAGACACACATAATAATAAGAGAATTAATATTGAAAATAATAACATAATCGAGTACTGGATATTCTCTTACCCTCTTATATGGGTGCCATTAGGCAAGTTTTTTTCCATGCCGCCCAAAAGTAAAAGTAGAATAGCCTTTTTGATATATTCGTGGCCACATATTGAAGGGGCTAAGGATCGCGAAAGTACTTCAAGCAGGTCCTTCTTCTTACTGATTTTTTCAATGTATTCAATATCCTGTTCTGTTATATTTGCCTTGGCGATACCGCCACCAACTTTACTTGAAAGTAAATAAATATTATTTGCAACAACAACAGTTCTATATGATAAAAAAGAAATTTTATAAATATGATAATCAATCACTATAATCAGCTAAATAATTCATTACCTGAAAGTAGAAGAAGTTGAATTTGCATTTCGATTTCCCAATGACCGATAAATTCCCACCAACTGAATACGATCACCAGGTTTCACCGAATCAACCAAATCATCATCCAATATTACGTCCAAAGATTTCGGTAACCCTCCAGCAGGTGCTCGCTCTGGCATTTCTTGAAGGGAAATTGTTTGGTGATCACGATAAACAGAGTATCCGAACTCTGTGGTGAGTGGATTACCATTCTCGTCTTCAGTTGGATATACAGAAGAGCTCGGTTGCTGATTTCCTGTCATGGTAGCGTCGCGATATTCTTTACTATGAAACATTCCCGTTTTTTCGCAATAGTGAACACTTTTAGCAAGTTTTGGGCGAACCAATGAACCTGGAAATAGAGGAGTCAAAAATAATTAACAAGAATTTTCACTTCGAAGAATGTTTTTCCTTACGAAGTTCATAAATGCGACATGATTACGCACATTTTGTTACAATTCCATCAATACAGACTAATTTTCCAAGATACGCCGCTGTCAACGTGCGCGGATTCTGATGATGATCTCCAAAACTACCCTTGAAACCCACATAAAATTGTTGTTCTTCGGCATCTGGTAAATTCACATTATGATTTTTTGTTATGAGATCTTTGAAAGCTTTTTCAAAGGGAGGAATATATTCATTGGGTGATTCTTTGATTCTGTAGTGCCAAACAATGAAAAGTATATAAGCATAAGCCTTAAATTAATTAATTAACTGACTAACAAACTAACCCGACAGTCTTTTCTTGATTATATGCAAATAAATCATCAATGCTCACGACTAGACGCCGTTGACCATCTCTTGCTAGTCGTGATAATTCATCTTTATGATAATTACCAGAAAACTAAATTTATACCCGATGAATAAGTTGAAGAGTAATACTTGTATATTGAAAAACATCGAGTTTAAAACGCGTTTATTTTAACGGTCAAACAATATTATCTTTTTTAATCATCTAATTCTTCTTTTGTACGCTTAAACACGTCAAAATAATTAAAGTTTGATTTTTATCCGATAATAAGAAACAAGCGTAAAATTCAAAAAGATACGGTAGACTCTAAAAACTCTTTGAAGAATGTAACGCGTTCGTTAAAGAGATCGTCTTGTAGCTGTGGTATCTCGAGAAGTGCGTTCGCCATTTTTTTTTAAAAAAAATAGAAGTTTATGGAACGCGTTTAAAAATTATTTGATGATCTACGCTCGATATCAGATTTAGTTCGGAATTATGATTACTTGGACTTTTTAAACTTTATAATAAAAACACACATGGTCATACTTCTGTTTTGATCCAGGAAACAGAAACTTTATAATCAACCTTGTATAACATTGATATTATTTAGATAGTACTATTAGTACTATTGGTGATATTTTGACATTAGAGATGGATACGTCCAATCAATAAATTGGACTAACAATATTCTTGCATAAATATTTAAAAAAATTAGTTTTAATTAAATTGCTTTAACTATTATTTATAAATCTATATTGTAGTGCAACTATTAGCAACCATCTTTTTATTTAACTTATTTAAACACTAAAATTGTATTGTGATATTTTGGTACTTATAGCAAGAAAATCATCAAAAGAAGTGAAATAACATAGTTATGTTATTTCACTTAGTCTAGGTTATTCACAATCCAGTTGATGACAAGATCACATGAGCATTATCGTTCAAGTAATGATTAGTTTACAAGTTCATTATCACACTGTGATTTATAAAAAAATATGATGATGAATTTGTATTCACATCATTACACTTGGATATCCCCACGATCTATAAAAAATATGATAATAATTTTATGTTCATGTCATTATTCGAGAATTATTAGAATATGCAGGTAACTTGACGTGTGATTTATATTTTTTACGTCATTCGAATAATGATCGTAGCAAATTTTTGTTATCACCCATATATGATATAATGTATACTGATTTAGTAATCATAATTTATTAGACTATATGAATAAAAAAATATATCTGATGATGTATCCAATCATATATTATCATTTGTGGATCCGATGTGAGAGCTATACCTGAACCTGACATGTAGTGTCTAGCTTTCTCTATAAGAATCAGGTTTGAGATACATAATATTGAAATATCGATTGTAATCTTTTACATAATTCACCTGAATACTGATCAAGAGTGAGACACATAGTGCCAAATCGTTATTTATTATATTATCTAAAAATGAGACATATAATGTTAAATTATTAGCAGTTGTTAGCTTCATATAATTTAATCAAGTATCATTTGATGATAAGACACATAGTATTAAATTGTTATTATTGTTACCATTTTGATGGGGTTTTCAAAATACTCAAAGGTATTTATAAAATTTAAGGAATATTCAAAAGGAAACTTCCAATGTCTTAACGACAATTCAAAGTCTAATAATACTTTATGACTTTAGACTGAATATGAATTAAAGTA